CATTCGTCGCCTTTAGTGCTTGATGGCTTGAATTTTTCTTGGAACATACTCTTGGATACTACTTTTGGATTATACTCTGTATAATCGACCAATGAGGTTTTTTATTTAAAATATATATTTTAACGATTTTTAGTCATTAAATCTGTAAAAGTTGATTATACACTCAACACAACGAAAAAAAGAAACAATATTTTCTTGTGTTCACAAAATATGTTTTTTTATAGTAGAAAAGGCCGCAAATTAGAAAAAAAAACCGAAATTTAAATGTGTGAACAACAATTTAACAATTTAGAATTTTGAAAGCACTTAAGTTTAAAGAAAAAAAAAATACTACGACGGACAGGATAGACACAATAAACAAGGGGGGGAGGATGCGAGATGGCGATTGGTGCAGAAATGCAGTGTTGCTGGCCACTGGTCACCTCTGCACGTTCTCCGACCTGTCCCCGCGGGTTGACGAGTGTCCCTGGCGCGTTTGCTCGGACGCTTGACGACCTTGCCCAGCCGGCGAGGCCAGACCGAGACGGCCACGGGAGCGACCACGGTTGAAGGCGACGGACGGCGGCTAGTGCGCGATGTCTTGCGCGTACCGACGGTCGACGGCGTGATGACTCGGCCGACGGACGGCGAAGACCGAGACGCGGAGCGAGCGAAGTGAGATTCTATGTTGCGGAACCGGTGGGGACGACCGAAGCGGCCGACTTGGGATTACCGCGGGGCGAAAAGGCGAAAGCCAGCGGACCACAGCGTGATCCTCGACTCTCGGTAATTTTCGCCCTGGCGTCGTCCCTTCGGCCGCAACGCGCCGCCAGACCCTGAAACGGTTAAGTTTCTGCGAGTCTGGCGCCGCTGACGTCCCCGTGTTCCTAGCACGCAAATCCCCGCACCACTCACCCCGTGCCCAGGTATCCGCCGCTGCCGTCGTACCGAGTCGCCATCGCCGTCGCACCGAGTCGGTGTACCGTCGGGGCGGAATCGTTGCCCGGTACCTCTATACTAGCCGCCGTGCCGTCGCCGTCCACCGTCGCCGTCGCTCCGCTTGACCGTGACTGCGGTCGGGCGCTCGCCGAGCCGCCAGAGGGTCTCGCGCGTCATCGACGACCGAGCTCGCCACGCCAGCTAACCCGTCGCGCCGCGGGTGCAGGTCGGAGAACGTGCGCGGGTGACTTACCGCCGCGCACCGTCCGTGCTCTTTCCCGCATCCTCCCCTCCATTCCGTCGCCGTCTTCCTGTCCGCCGTCTTCGCCCAGCTTCGGACGTCTCCTTATCGGCGGCAGAAGCAGCAAAGGCCGCGGAAGAAGCGCCTCAGGCTCTTCCACCTCTTTGGAGGCGCCTTGCCGTCTTCCCGTACAGTCGTGTCTTGGTCGCCGCTCGGCATTCCTCCACCGTGCGAGGAGACGGTCATCTCGACGCCTTCAGCTGCCGACGCCTCTCCTGCTGCACCTCCGAGAGTCGAGTCTCCGGACTCCGACTCCAGGGTCTGCACGTCACCAGTGGTGGTGACCATGTCAATGGCATACAGGATGGGCACGACCAGACGAACGAGATATTCTTCCGTCTTATCGGCAAGTGCTCCTTCTATTTTGTCCGTAATAATGTCCTCCAACATTTCCATTAGTAACACGTTTACCGCGGCGCGGTCGATGTCGCAGTTGTTAGTTGCCATACTTTATAAGTTTTGAATATCGAAAATAATTTTTGCGTGTATTTTAGGATTCGATCGAGAATTGGTAATGAGCTAAATAAGAATATTTCAACACATAGACCGATCTCCGAGAAAATCTCCCAGACGACGGTGTGTGTTACTAGCCAGCTAGTATGTTTATCGTTCTGGTCGGCCCGCAGCATCAGAATTTCGAGCGCGTTAACAATAGTAAACAATAATAACAATTTTATTTTATTTGCAAACAATTTTTTTTTATATTTTTATATTTTTTATTTTTTTTTGTGTCTGGCATCACGTTTTAGGACAGTAAAAGTGCTTGGATTTTCTTCATCAGTAGCTTTTCTGATAGGAAAGTGAATCTAGTTGGTACTTTGGGTGGTCAAAAGTATAAATTTCCCAGTAGTTTTCACAAGCGCCGGGAAAAACAACATAAAAATTAAGGAAAAACGGGAATTTTTACGCAAAATTGGTTTTCCAAAAAATCGATTTTGGTTATTGGTGTAACTCTAAAACAAATGAACGTATATACATGCAATTTTCACTGGTTGTTTATATTTGCATTTTCTATACACGATAACATTTTCAAAATATTTTGATTTATTTTGAACTGTTTAGGGACATTTTCATTTTCCATTTTTTTTTAGTTTTTTTTCTAAAAATATCAATAAAATTTTATTTGTTGGTTGCGAAAGCTTGAAAATTTAATAGAAGGCTCCTAATATGTTGTTTCAAAGGCAGATGAAAAAGATTAAAAATCCTTAGTCACAATTTTTTTTTATAAGCATTTAAAGTTCAAAAATTCACAAAATATGGAAAAATCACGAAAATTAGCAAATTATTTTGAGTTAAGAATTCGTAAAAATTTTTCTTTTTAAATCTAAGATTTGAAAATGAAACACAAGATTCCTTATAAGATTATCTACCTTTATCAATAAAAAAATCTCTACCGGACAGTCAAATTAAATTTTTATGAGCATTTGAAATTCAAATTTTTACAACATTGGATTTTCACTCGATTACTCATGTAGCGATTTCCTTATTTTGTTGTAATTCATAAACTAATAACTATAGATATATGAAAATTTCACTGAATGTTTATATTAGCATTTCCTATACACCATACAATTTTGAAAATATTTTGACTCTTTTTGAGCTGTTTACGGACATTTTCAGTTTTCAATTTTTTTAGTTTTTTTTTTTATAATTGTCAATAAAATTTTATTTGGTGGGCCAAAAAGTCTGAAAATTGAATACAAGCTTTCTTATATATTGTTACAATATCAGTTGAAAAATTTTAAAAATACATAGGCACGATTTTTTTTTATAAGCATTTAAAGTTGGAATTTTGACAAAATTTATCAAAATCTCGAAAATAATCAATCGTTGGAATTAAAAAATTATAAAATGTTCAGTTTTTATAACTAAGAGTTGAAAATTTAAAACAAAGATTCTCTTAAATAATTCATACTGTAACCAAAAAATCTAAAAAATATATAAACACACTTATTTTTTACAGACATTTTAATTTCAAGTTTAGACAAAATTTCATATTTAAACCAAGAATTACGATTTTAGTTATTTTATTGTGATTGTATAATATTATTCGTGGGTACTTGAAATTTCTAAAGTACCTAATCTACTATATACATCTATGATAGTATCAGGGTTTGTTGTTGGTGTATAACGCGTTATAAGTACCTAATGGATATTGTGATATGATTAATTTGGAATTCATTATAGGTCAATTTTTTTTAATACCATAGATATGTATATAATATGTCTTTTACCTAGAAGGACATACCGTCTCCGCTCAGAATCGTTTTTCTTATACAATGATATTATATCATTGAATTCAAATTTAATACCATCCATTATACAATGACCCACTTGTAACCTACTGTACAGCAGAGCGACACCCACTTGCCCACCTTTTTTAATTTAACTAGGCTTTTTTTATTAATTTTTGAACAACTTCTTTTTGGGAATAAATAAGGGAGGGATGACTTACAAATTTTAAATTCATGATTACAAATACTTACAAATTGTCAATGACATTTTGGCATAGGTAGTCAAAAACTTTGAAATGCCAAAACGGATAAGTATTGTGGAAGTTAGCCTTGATTTAAACTTTTGAGTATAATTAAAAACGACTGTACTTACAAATTACCAAATTGTGCTTACATAAAATTACAAATGACTTATAAATTTTTATCAAAATTTGTAGAAAAAATGTTCATGTTGTGTGGCCAACTTCACGGAACTACATTGTGAAACAAATATAGAAAAAATTAATTTGGGGGTTAAGACTTAAGTTATAAATTCTGATTTTGAGGTTACAAATTTTTAAGAATCGGTTACTAATTTTTTAATTAGGTTTGACTTCAAAATTTTGACTTTGGGGTGCCAAGCTGACGGACCTCTAATTGGATACTGTCTGACAATTTTAGTAAAAAAAAATATTAATATGATTTAAATAAAATGTATCTAGGTAAGACGTAAATATGTCTTCTAAGATAACAAATAGATAGATCGGATAAAGTGGGGTGGCTGGCTAAAAAATGGAAAAATTCGTAAAAAATATAAAAAATGATTTGCAATTAGCCAAACTCAATTTAAAATTAGTTGTAATTAATTTGCAATTATTCGGCGGTATTTTGAAATGAATCGGACAAAGTGGGGGGCTACATGAAGTTGTCTCCCCCGATTTTGAATTTGAGTTTACTCAAAACTGGGTGATTTGCAATTAACAAAACTCGATTTGCAATTATTTGGTGGTAACTTCATGTACATCTATAAGAGTGCTTTTTGAGGTTACCTATGTTACAAAATTATAATATTATGAATAATCCGATAATGATTATTAAATTATAATTAAAATCATTAAATTGTTATTTCATATTCATGATTTTATTATTGGTTTTTGTTTTTTTAAATGTTAACATGTATCAATAATTAAGGAACTCTTATAACCTCAAAAATTGTATCACTTTAACCCTGTCGTAACATGTTCTGTGATTATATCATAACATAACAAACAACAATAATATTATCAAAATACACAATCGAATATATATAGTATATATATATATATATATATAGTTATTGAATGTTGTGGTTGTTTGTTATTAAGTAAATTCTTAATATTCTTATCAGTTATCATAGAGTAAGTTCTAACTTCTAATATTCTACTAAATTCATTGCATTTATAATACTCAACAGTCAACAGTTTACATAATAATATTTTGTATTGAATTACATCAATAATTACATCATTGTAAATTTACTGTACAACACTATTCGGTGTATATTGCATTGTTGAAAGAGATGATCAAAAATGATAAAAGGTAGGTTATATTAAATTATAAAAATGTTTGATTGAAATGAATTAATATAAATGTTACAGAAAATACTGAAGTTATAAAACCACCTGAAAAAGTTGATGACTTTTTGTTGTCACTATTTAAGGCTTTGGACAGGCAGAAATCTAAAGATGATCGTAAAATAGTGGAAAAAAAAGTAACCATTTTTTTTATAATAATTATTGTTGGTCCTTTTAAATGATATTCTAACCTAATGATAATTACCAAAAATACATACATGATATATTACTTTTTTAAATTAAAAGATTGACTATGTTTATTTAGATTTAAACTAAAAATTAAAATTAAAATCAATTATTTTTTACCAAAAATCTTATCTTAAAATGTATCTTTATACAATATAAATTATTAATTGTATCATACAATATTTTAGTTGAAGGATAGATGTTTGGAAAAATATAATGGAAGATACATATTTTGCACCAAAATCTATTATTATTCTACGGCCCCCAATTATAGAACATTGGACAGTAAACTAATTCCTTATAACTAAATAAATATTTTTTTGTGTATCAGATTAGATTTCAAGTAAAATAATTATTTTATTTATATTACTCGACAACATTATCATACTTTTCAAACCAAATTAATTCTATGAAATTATATGAAATAAAGAAAGCATAGATTTGAGCTGGCTTTAGTAAGAAAAAATTTAAAAAAATAGTTGTTTGTAAGCTCATGCTGTATCCAAAACTAAATTCTGTGCTTGTCCTTGATTTTTAGCAAATATTGAAAAATTCATCTAAAGACTTGTGGTATATTGTGTACTTACAGTTGGTATTTTAGGTAATTAAATAATTTGTATGCATCTACTGAGTCGTTCTCGCCAAGTCGATGGTGGCAACGATTTAAATATATCGTTATTAAATGTATTAATTGTTAGTCAAAAGTTTTAATTTAGTTATTCAGTCAGAGCCCAAAGGAAAAAACTATTATACATTTTTTGAGAAAATGGGCTTATTCAAATTGATACTTCTCTTGTAGATACTGTGGTTCTTAAAAAAATATATACCCTGGTGGAAAGTTCATAAGGAGATTTAAACATTGTATAATTTAAAAAAAATATATAGTACGTTACCATTTGCTATCTTTGCTGCCGTAATATTTTGCAAAACGTTGGAACGATGTATACCATCGGAAAATACGTCAATACGTCTGAACAATATTATAAAAACTGCCCCATTTGAATGTTTTCAAAGAGATGTCAAATGATATTGTAATACATAAAAAATATTTTTTTTAAATAATTATATTTTTTGGTATACACGTATTATTAATAATGTAAAAAAAGGTGGGCAAATGGTTACCGCTCTGCTGTTCTGATGGTGTCGAGTGGATCACTATAATGGTTGTGTTGAATTTGAATTCAATGATATAAATGTATTATACACGAAAAACGGTACTGAGCAAAGACAGACGTCAGTATATATTACTGAGTATATTTTAAGATATTATTGCTATTAAAGTAATTTATTTTACTATTAGTAATACAGTAGGTTGAATTAATTTCTTCCAAAAATATTGTATTTCAAAATGTTGTTGTGTGTATAAAATATAATAAAATACTTTAAATGTTTCAAGAACTCAAAAATAATATTTTTAAATTACAACAAAATAACTAATATTGTTATTCTTAGTTTAAATATCTAATTTTGTCCAACTTCAAATGTCTATAAAGACAAATCGTGTTAATATATTTTTTATATCTTGGTTATAATTTACAATAATAAATAGTAAATACTATTATAATAAACTTTTTATTAAATGTTCAGCTCTTAGATATAAAAATTTAACTTTTTATAAATTTTTAACCACAAAATATAATATATATATTATATAAAAAAAAATTCTACCTCTACTCTGTTCAAGTTAAGAAATGCAGTCAGTAGCGACCGGTTTTCGTTGGGCTGTAGTCAGACAGTACCAGTTTATCGCCCTTACCCAGTCTATTATCTGTATAACTGCACAAGTTTTGCCATGCCTTGGCTCACTAGTTGGTCACCGACTACATTTCTTTACTTGAACAGAGTGTATGTATGTTTAATATTTTTGAACTTCTATTAAATGTTCATGTTTTTTTAGAATGAGCAAAAAATTTATAAATTTATTGTTATTTTAATAAAATATAAAGAACATGTGGTAGACCGTATACGATAAGAATACATCATAATTTTTTCTATAAAGGTGGTTGTTCGGAGGTTGCCTCCAACTATGACTGAAGAAAGATTTCTCAATGAAGTATCTCCTCTGCCTGAATTCAATTACATGTATTTTATACCTGGTGATCTACATGCAGTACCATTTCATCATTCAAGGGTGTATATAAATTTTCTTAAAGAAGACGATATGTATATGTTTACAGACAAATTTGATGGCTATGTATTTGTTGATGATACTGGTAATAAATGCTTTTTTATTATGAGTGATGAAATTACTTTTCAATAATTTTGTAGGTGACGAATATCCAGCTACTGTTGAACTAGCACCTTACCAGAGGATACCAAAAAAGAAATTAGATAAAGATGCAAATTGGGGTAAGATACACGAGAACCCAGTGTTCTTAGAGTTCAAACGTAATTTTGAACAGAAGACTATCGATACCACATTAAAAACTACACAACACTTTTTTGAATCCGTTGAAGGTAAAGTAAAATGATTATTTGACATTTTTAGTTACTTATTAAATATTGTATTATGTTTGTTAATTTTGAGTATAATTTTACTTTCTTAGATAAATCTCAAGAACAGGACTTGAGTACACCATTACTTGAATATTTAGCAAAGCAAAATGATAAGCAACGTGTACGAGTAAATCAAAGGGATGAACGTCGTAAAAAAGTATTTATTAGAAAACAGGAAAAAGAAGATGTGTGGAGACACAAAAAAGTGGAAAAAGAAATTTTCATTAAACCCAAACAAATTACCAAAAGCAGCATAATCAGTAAAAGAGTAATTGACGAAAAACCAGTGAAAGATACAAGCCAGAAGTATGCAGATTTTATTTTTTTAATTTTTGAAGTTAAATTATTTTTTTTATCTGGTAAAAATAGTGGCACCAAATCTATATTTTAGGTGTGCCATTGAATGATAATTCAAATCTTGTAACAAGTTGATAGAAGAAAATATTAGGTTTTGATGGCTAGGGGTAAAGTACCCTCTAAAATATAAAGTGTATAACTGGTTTGATGGCAGAATGTTGATACTATTGTACTATCTGTACTAAAATCTGCCTCAAGAGAGAATAATCAGTCAGCCGACGCGATTTTTGTCAGTTCTGTGAATCTCCCACCAAAAACCTAGTGTTAGCATGATCATACATCTCAATGTTTCTCGACACGCCTGTCACTTTATTTATGATGTGCAAATGGTGATTGTTCTCTTTTGAGACAGAGTATAATAGAAATTTTCATTGAGAGGACGCTACACAGATATTTGTTGTCTCCATCTTACAAGTGCTTAACATAACAAATTTACGCTCAGTCGATCACGCTTGACTCGTTTAAAAATTAGAGTGAATCGACCTATTATGTAACTTGATGGTAAAAACATTATCTGTTTGGATGTGGATTTTTTTACAACAACTCGGTTTTTAAGGGAGTTATGAGTATTTTTAATTTATGCTATATTATATATGCATAACTTGCTCAAAACTTGAACTATTGTAAGAAACCCACATACATACACAGATAATGTTCTTACAATCAAGTTTTATAAGAAGTCCATTCACTCTAATATTTAAAGTAACCGAGCTAAACGTCATCTGCTGACAGTAAATTTTCTTTGTTATGCACTTGTAAGATGAAGACAACAAATTGCTGTGTAGCGTCCTCCTAATTAACTTCTATACCATACTGGTGTTACTATCATATTTAAACTCATTGGTAACCCTAGTAAATAAGAAAAAATAAAAAACTATGTTAGCTCTGCTATATAATAGGTGGCAACTGTAAAATTTACCTTGTCAATAAGTATAGTTAATTTTTTTTTATTTTTTACTATGAAATATGTTTCTGAGAGGTGATCAGTTAGTCAGGAGTTTATTAGTTTATATTTTTTAATCCATTTCATTATAAATATATTTATATTCCTATTAGTAATTATTAATTTATTTTATTATTTTTTTAAGGGTAGATCAAACTAATTTTTCCTAAAATTAGACCACATAATATAGTATATAATAATAATTAGGGATAGAAATGCTTGAAAAATTTTGGAAAAATACTGTTTTTTCCAAAAGCTACAAAAAATATGAATAAATTAGAAAATATTAAAATAAAACATTTTTATGAAAATTAAAAAAAAAGAAAGAATTTTCGGAAAATTGAAAATTGCATTTACGCTTAAAAATTAAAATAATCTAAGAAGGTATAAAAAAAAACCCAGTTAAGAAAATAGATAAAGAAACCTGCCATTATTGTTTCTAGTGATGCACAATGATGTCGTATTTCGATATCGATATCGATATCGGACCAATTTTACCGATATTGATATGACAAAAATAATATTCGATATCGAAATACGACATCGCAGGTAAATATCCAACATTTTATCGATATCGAAAATTGATATCAATTCGTTGCAATTTGAAATTTCTATTTTCTGTTTATATAAGTTTTGACAGTAAATCAATGTCTAAGAACGATTAAACACCAACGATAAGCAATACGATAAAGTTCTTACAATAGTACCTGTACCTAATTTTAATTCAATTTAAATTTTTAAATTTTTGTTTATAATAATTAATAATATAATATGAAAACCTTTTTTTATACTTTTTATTTATATTTTTTTAATGTATGAAATATTAATTTAAAAAAAAAAAAACTTATTATATATAAAAATAAATTATATCGATATATCGTTTTTCGATATCGATATCGTTTGTTCTTCGATATCGCGATATGATATCGATATCAATGAACCGATATCGATAACGGAAAATATATCGTTGTGCATCACTAATTGTTTCACATTTGTCAATTCAGAGTATGTATAATATCATTGTATTAAACTATAAACTATAAATACTGGTGACTATAGTATGGCCAGTGAAAAATGAGCCGCAATTGTAGCGCCCAAAGTGGCTTTTTTTCAGTAGAGCTATCCAAAAACTATAGCCCTACCGAAAAGACGCCACCCAGGGCGCTACAATCCCGGCTCCTTTTTTGCTGGCCATACTTTAGTAAGTATTTGATAATGGTAATATTTTAAATTCTAAGTTGAGAGATAACATTTTTAACGAACATTTAAAATTTTTTTTTATAAATGTCTAAAATTTTGTTTATTGGGTCAAAAAGATTGAAAATTTAATACAACGCTCCTTTTATATATTGTTACAAAAGCAGTTAGATAATATTAAAAATGTATTGGCTCGTTTTTTTTTTTAATAAGCATTTAAAGTTCAAATGTTGACTAAATTTATCACATTTCAAATTTAATAATTATTTAGTAGTTTATTTATAAAATATTCAACAATTATAGGTAAGGATTAAACATATAAAAGAATGTTCCATATAAATAGTTCATGTTGTGACAAAAAAATATATGAATACCGTTTGTTTCTATAGTTATCTTAAGTTCAAATTTGAGCATAATTACATATTAAATAACCAAGAATGACAATTTTAGTAATTTTGTTGTGATGTAAATATATTATTCGTGGATACTTGAAACATCTCAAGTATATTATTATATACAAATATTAAAATATGATGATATGCAAATAATATTAACTCAACTTATCGGCTACCAAATTAATAATAACATTATCAATTTAAAATTTAAAATATCCTTGGCTGATGATCGTTTTTCATTTACAATGATATTATATCATTGAATTCAAATTTGACTCCATCCATTACAGTGACCCCCTTGTAACCTACTGCACAGGTTAGTGACATCCACTTACCAGCTTTTTTAAACATAGTGAGTAGGTAATAAGTAAATAGTATTACTAAACTACATATATAATTGTTATATTACAAATTGTAATTATTTATAACTAAATAAAGAATAAAATCTGCAAAATTCATCCCCTACAGACTTTATATGATTGTATGTATTATGATTATTGATTATCAACTATCATTATTTATTGGACTGTTTAAACTTTAAATTACTTTTTCAATTCTTTAGGAAAGAAGGTTTTTTCATGACATTTTTCCGGTAAATCCCTGTTTTTTTTTCGTCAAAACCATTTGCCTTAAATTTTAAATGAAACCAAATTTTTCCGAAAAAACTAATTTACTAGAAACTAAATTAAGAGATATGATACAAAGGAGAACAATTATTTTTAAGTCTAGCTTTACCGTAAATAAAAACAAAAAAAAAACAAAAATTAACTAATATTTCCAGGTTTTTGTTAGTGGCGCTTGTCATTAGAAAACATAATTAAACAGACATTCAAAAAAATCAAAAATAATCATAAAACTGGAAATAAGCATTTTTTCAAATAATCTTTAAAAAACAAAATAAGCACTCAAATTGTATAATTGATGTTTTATAACAAGACATTCACTTCCATTTGCACTCTGTTATATTTTATATCAAACCATAAAAATAAGCAAATTCTTTATGTTCCGAGCTCTAGTTGTGAGTATGTAAAAAATTGTTCTTACCTCATCCTCATGGATGATTATCATTTGTATTTTTTATATTGTAGCTCAAACATTATTAAACAAACCCCAGAATGAATAAGAGTCATAAAAATAAATAATAAACATGGGGTGTGCCAAGTCACACTCTGTACACTTGCCAATGTCTATGTATCTGATATTACCTTTGCTTATAATATGAATAAATGTATTATTATTAATTAAAATATGTGGTTAATCTTGAGAAAACACAATGTTTAAAATGTATTATTTATATTTAATTATAACAAGATTATATTGTTACTCTATTAATGGGTATTAATTTTTTTTTTTTTTTTTAGAAAAATCATTAAAAGTCATAAAGACGATACAGGATATATTGTTGAAAAAAACAAATATTATGATGAAAATCATAAAGTTAAGAGTGAAGAAACTAAAGTTGACGAAGTAAAAAAAATAGAGATTAAAATTAAAACAACCAAGCTGAATAGTCCACTCAAATGTTTTGATAATGATTTAAAAGAAGATATTACTTCTAAACCTGAAAAAATGAATGTTGATATATCTAAAGAAGATAATGATATAAAAAAGAAATCGGAAACATTGAGACCTGGGCATTCAGAAATCAAAACTAGTGTATCAACTAAACATAATAAGTGGCATGATGATAAGGAAATAGTTGAATCTGGTGAAACTGAAAACTATAAAAAGCATCGATCTGATACAGATAAAAGGTTTCCTTACAATAAACGAATAGATAATCGCCGTCAAGAATCCAAGACTGATCGTCGCATTAGAAATAAGGATCGTCCAGCTATAGAAATTTATAGGCCAGGGATGGGAAGATTGAGTAAGTTAAAGGCAGAGAATGATAGTATTGAACCAGAAGCTAATAAGCAACATTTAAATTATACTTAACAGAAAAATAATGTACATTTTTCTTGTATTTGATTTTTAAGCTATTTCTCTATAATTTTCATATAACTAAATTTTGTAACATACATTTTTTAGTAATATTAAAGATTAAACATATATGAATCATGGTAAATCATGTTCGGTTTCCATTAATTGAAATTTGAATATGTTTTTTTCTATCTTAGTACCTACAACATTTTATTTTATAACTGATTTAATCTCAAAGCACAACATGGGTGAACATTTCTTTAATCATGTTACAGTGTTGGGTAGTATTGTAACGCAAATCACAAATTACTGTAGTGGAATTACTTTTGCAGTAATGCTGTAGTAATTTAATTATATTTTATATGATTGTACAGAATTGTAACAAAATTACTTTTTTAAAGTATTTTCTATGGAGTAATGTGTTATTTTCCATTTGATTTAATTAAGTTACGAATGTATGAAAAAACCTAGGTGCTAGAATATTTGAGTAAAATTAAAAATCAATAATATTTATTTACGGTTCTGAAAGTTTTAAATAATAATCAAGAATATTATTAAAGGTCCCAGGTGTTAATACTTATACAGTTATACATTTTGTTCATGTATAACATTAGATCATTACTCATTAACATCATCAATGTTATCAATGTTTTACCTCTACTGCTATACAATTTATACAAGTAAACCTACTAAGTATATAAGTATATAAGCTGTAAGTGTTTAAAGTATTGATGAGCGGTCGAGCGGGGTAGTGGACAAACATTTTACGAGGTAACCCTGTACTACTCCATTCCTCGCATATATACTTAACAAACTTATAACTCATAAACTACATGTCCTAAATTCAATTTTTATGTATCAAAATACTTAGAAAAATATTCTGCTTTGGAATATGAAACTAAAACACTTCGTTCAAAAAAGTAAAAAATATATTTTTTTAATAAAAATGTTATTTTGTAACGACTTGAACCTATGTAAAAAAATATTTTCAAAAACATTACATTTTTTGAAATAATGAGTATTTAATGATAAAAGAATCATCTTGTATGTAGTAGTTATATGGACAGAGTTTGCATTTAATTTTTTGTACCTAATTAATTAAGTACCTGCTTATTGTAAAGTGTTACCATTTTGCTGCAACTTTTTGATTGATTGCCAGTTGGCACATTAATTTTAAAGAAATCAATAAATAATTTTGTAGGATATTATGGTTTTTAAATCGTAATGTGTTTGCTTGCTGCCTAGGTGATTGAAATATTTGAAATAATGTTGGAAATAGCCCACCTAAAGGGGGAAATATAAATTTAAATGTGCCCTGATTGACATACGACAAAGAAGTTTGTGCTAAATTCTGATATGAGAGTAAAAATGTAATGATCTTACTTATAATTGAGAAAAAAATCAAGTGTGAAACCTACTAAACTACTAAACCTACTAAACTAAACTATATTCTGCAATCATGTGAGTATTCAAATATTTTATAATTGATATTCAATATATTTTCATACCACAAATTAAAACAAAGGGTGATTCTAACAAACAAACCTTAACATTATAACTCAATTACTGTATTTCAGTGGCGGAGCGAAATTATGGAGGCTTTGAATCATATTGTATATTTCAAATATTTTTACCACTGTACCCTTCGTTGAACCAAAATTAGCAGCAAGGGCCATTAATAATTATTAATTATAATATTTGCCATGATATTTGTGTTGAGGTCTTACGATTAAATATATATTTGTACATCCACCCACCCATTTCAGACATGAAGCAATTGATTCAAACAATCATACATCCCGCCGTCAATGCTGTATTTAAATGTGGTTCAAAATATTTAACTATGGTCAAGTACAACATATGAAACTAATAAGCTCAAAGTTTGATGACATTGATGTTTCAGATCTCATGATCATAGATTTTTTCAGTTTAGTGTTTGCACATTGACTAAGATTTATATAATAATATATAGTATGCCATTTAGACATGTAAAATGAATTATTATAATTACTTTGTTCAGGTTTTTCTGTGGTATTGTAGTCTGTAGAGTGTAGACCAAGATCTGGAACATTATCTAATTAAGAGGTGTGTACTGTGTAGTTTATGAGCTATTTGAAATGTTTGAATATTTGATGTTATTTTGATTCAAAAACTTTCTAAGGTGAGTTGAATTAATGTAAAAAAAATCAACAATTGACATCCCTCAGTGACCAGTGTCACCACAATTATGAATGAATCAATGAAAGAATTATATAATTCCGAATTGACTGAAATTATAATTTACGTATTATTATTAATTATGATTTATGAATCATCCCTTAGAAATTCAAAACTTTGTTAGTTATACAAACTCACTTGAGAGTTGTGACGCTTGTGAGCCAGTATGATTTAGGGCCTCAGGGGAACTATATATGAATTGAGAATCTTTAAAAGTGTTGAGAGTTGATTTGGCGATAAACTTATTTAAGTGACTTGTGAGAATTGAATCTTCTGTAAATGAGTTGAAAACTTGAAATTCCCGCCGCTCTTATGTTCTGTGATAATATTTTTATCTATTACATTAAAAAAAAATATTATTTTTTATCAATGATAGACGATAGTTGAGATGTGAACGTGATAAGAATTCTCTTTTTATTCTGTAGACTGTAAGTTGGAATACTGGCTAAATGATAATTCGGTTATTTCGAATTCAATATCCTGAGACGAATAATTCTTTATTGTTACTTATTAATATTTAATGAAGTTTAACATAACTTTTTAAAAAAAAAATGTCAAAAAAATTACCATCTCCTGTTTACACATTGAAATGTGAAAAATACACTCCATACTGCTTGAAATTCTATTTAGATGGCGAAATTCTCTATGTCGGTACTCTGAGCGGAGAAATACTTGTCTGGAACATGGAGGTAAGACTTTTGGTGTTCAAATAATCATGATAACAATTTTTAGTTATTTTGTCATGCAAATAATAATCTTTCAATTTAATACATAATATTTTATGTATATTTTTAAATGAAACCTTTTCTATATACATCCATTGCAATTTGTATTATAGAACATATAGTTATGATGTTTAGTATGATAATTTTATTTTTCTGTTTTCAGTCTAACCGTTTAAAAAATGAAATTAAAGCTGGCACAGTGTGTATAATGACTCTTGAGCTGTTGACTAAACAAAATCAATTAGTATCGCATAATAAAGTCGGCGAAATAACATTTTGGCTGATAGATGGCATAGAACTCAAGCTCCATCACAGACTATCAACCCAAATAATTGGGTTTTGTAAATTGGCCTTGTACAAAACAAACATGTTATTGTGCAAAGGAGAAAATTCTACGATGCATTGTTACTCCACTGACACTTATGATAAAATTACTGTTTTTAATCCACACCAAGACGATAGTTTGGGAGATCTGATGGTTGTAAAATCAATTGCTGATTATGTGTTTTGTGGTTATGAAGCTAATATAGTTGTTGTATGGCGAGAAGACTATATCGTTAATCAGTGTAGCTTTCCTGAACTTGAATGTTTAATGGCTCTGGATGTGGATCATAATGTAACCAAAGGTATTTGTGCTGGTAGTTCAAATGTGATAAACACATTTTATATTACAGATGGTAATCTAAGTTTGGATAGAAACATTAAGATTACAAATCCTGGTGTTAATGCTTTGCAGTTAAGACCTGACGATAAAATAGTTGCTGCTGCTTGCTGGGATTTAACTGTAAGACTATTTTCTTGGAAGACCATGAAACTCTTAGCTGTTTTGGATTCCCATTCAACTGGTGTCATGAATATTGTATATTCCGAATTGTCGGTAGCATTTTGGAAAGCCAAGTACATGCTGGCTGTTGCAAATAAAGATAATAAAATCACTCTTTGGGATGTATACAATGGAAAGGATAACAATTAATGCATATTATATTAATACTTCCATGTGAAAGTGAAGATAATCAAAACAAACTATACTCTCAATAGTCAATGGAATGTTTTTGAAAATTTTGTATGAAGCAATATGATTATAAATTCTAATACTTAGCGAGGTGTGCTGAAGTATTTTAAAATTATGAACTAATGAAGAGCATTTTAAAGTGGTTTTTTTTAAACTATAAAAACTAGAGGTTGATATTTTAAGATTCACATTATATTAATTGTGATAATATCAAAAGAAATTATTTTCAAAAATGTATTTCATTATTTAGATTGTGCAAAAATGAGTTAATGAATTTATTTATAAAAATTGGTTTCTTTAACTCAAGTCTTTCATGCCATAATAACAATAATAAAAAAAGTATCTTTATTTGTAAAAAGTTTTACCTAATATTATGTTTCTATTTTAAATGGATAAATCTAACTTAATATTGATGTATACACTTATAAATAAAAATACCACAATAACCATAATATTATTTACTTAAGATTTTTACAAAATTATGTATAATGCAAATAGCTCTCACTTCATTGTACGGACGTATCTCTGTATTTAATTAATAGGTACTATTAAAACCATTTTCTCTAATTTTATTAGAATTGTTTTATAATGAGTGCCTAATAAAAATTAAGTATTTATTAAAATTCTTTAACAATACATTTTTTTAATAGCTAACCTTTTTTTTCTGGAATTGGTGAATGCAATGAATACATCTATTGCATTATTTCCCATTCAAAAAATCCAAACCTATGTAATATGTAAATATTTATAAAGAGTAAAACAGTGTATAATTAAATGCAAAAAATATATCAATATTTTATAACAAACAATAAATTAGGTAACTGTTGTTATAATTTTTAAAATTTTAAAACTAAAAAACCTGGAACCAGCACTGGTATGTAAATAGTTGTTGAGGATATTTCATACTTGCTCCACTATAATCAATGTGTTTATCTTAAGTATCATTGTATACAAAAAACGATCCTGAGGACCTGGGCAAAAAGTGCCTGTACTCGTTTAATGGAACCAGTTATAAAGATATTATTGTTGATTATACAATATACTATTTTTTTTATAGCTGATCCCGTGCACTTTGTTGTCCGTTAAATGTATCAACTCTATATGACTCAAACTTTGTTCAATTCGTTACCTATTTAATATTCGGTGTATGGTGTTCAAAATTAATCTTAACTTTTCCGTTGCCCGGAATAAAAATTTTGATTCGCAGTAGTACATTATCGTCATTATCAGGTAGATCACGGACCCCGTGCTGTTTGTACATAAGTGTATAATTTATTTAACTCTAAAGTAGGTATCAAAGTTATACTAAGTTTGTCGTTTTTACTCAATTCTACCTACATGGTTAGGTTACATGGTAGTTTGTGTACCTATATTTTTTACATAATATTATGTATTATTATTACTATTTACTATATAGGTATTGGTAGATCACCGTATTGAGCAGAAGGGTGTAGACAAGAGGGAATTTTTGTGACAAAAATATCGAGTATGTCAGGATTTTTCCGTGGAGAAGATGGCCAATAGGTAGGGTCCTGAGGGGCAAGTACATTAAGGTTTTTCACACTTGCGTAAGAATGAAGAACGCAGCCACGTGGATTATCTGAGCGACTATAAACATCATGATATACTCAAGCCTGGGCAAGTTAATGATAATTTTTAGCTGAGTTATGTTAAGTTGATAGAAAACATTTAAAAAGGTTTAAAGTTAACAGTTAACCTAATTTTTTTTAAACTCAGGTAAGTTAAAAGTTATATGAACATTTTCAATTAACTTATTAACTTAAGTTATTATTATTTTTTTTTTATATATCTATAAATACCCATTAATATGGCTTAAAATAATAAAAATCATAAATATTATTGAACACAGGAAATAGCCAATATATGAGCATAACTTAATTGATTTTAATTTAAAAAAAAATTTCTTTTAAAAAACACTTTTCTAAAAAAACAAAAAAATAATGAAAAATTTAAAAGTGTGTGGTATAATATGTCAAGTGTAAGAGCGCCACACACTTTTAAATTTTTCATTATTTTTTTGTTTTTTTAGAAAAGTGTTTTTTAAAAGAAATTTTTTAATTTTTATTTTCTACTTTTTAGTTAAAAAATTTTTTTACGGATTATTGTATTGTCATCCAAGACCAAGGTCTATACCAATTTTCAGAATTTTTCATCTTCAAAAAGTGCCTCAAATCGAGCGCGCAAGATTTGATCACAGACAGACGTGAAACCAAACTTAAGAAAAGTGTTAATAACTAATTTATGGCGAAAATATTTAATACATAACATTATATGTTATTAATAATTGCACATTTGTGACTAAATTTAAAAAAAGTTGAGTTAAAAAGTTAAAATTAACTTAACTTTAACTTTTAACTCGTTTATGTCCAGGCTTGGATATATTGCTGTACTGTTCCATATTTTGACAGTTGATAATTTTTATTATATTACAAGTAATCCGATCTCTTCTCTACATATTATTAGTAGAACACAACGATAATATTATATCCGGCACCCGTTGGTATTATTATATTTTCGATGCGATGTCAGTAAATTTATCTGCTGGCAGGCCCGGATTGAGCCGGCGGGCTACCGAGCAAAATCCGGTGGGCCGTTAAAAATTCGAAAGATTTGGGCCGGCTCGAAGAAATTTTGAATCAGAGATTTGGGCCGGTCTATATAGGTGGACAGCCCGGTAGACGGTATTAAAATTCCAATTCGTTTTCCGTCGTGGCGCAAATTACCAAAATAAATTTGTAGAGGTGGAGCAAAGTACATGTTTAATTTTTATATTTAATAACATACTCGCTTAAATGTACCTATTGGTGGAGCAAATTACAAGTAATTAAATTGGCTCAAAATACCATCTCCCCCGCAGTCGGGTTGACGTTGTTGGTACGGATATACCCAATGGGGTCCCAGTTTGATACTCATACTCTTGTCACTTGTTTGACTGCACCTTTTGATGTACAATACGACATGTGGTCTGGAAAAGCTCTCTACAATGATAATTTTACTAGGTAATGCATTATATTAATAAAATTCACTTGTATTTTATGATGAATAAAATAATTCATGAAGTAAATAAATCGTTTTAAGATTGAAACATTACGTTTGTATTGAATGATACCTAATAATTAATATATTCTATTGAAATATATACTATGACATTATATTTAATATGGTTCGTGCATGTGCACAGTGCAGCTTATATACATACAATGCAACTGTAATATTTTAAAATCAAACTTTTTTGGATAATTTTTGTGAGATAATTGGTATCATAAGTTTTCTTTTCTGAAATTACTTCAGTGTATAATTTTAGGCTCTTGGAAAACTTAATTGGCTTATTTTAATACCTAATATTTTTTATTTAAAAACAAAACCGGTAAACATTTAAAACTGAAGGTTTTTTCACTTCTGTTAACTTTAAAATAGGTGTATAAAATATACCTAAGTTGTTATATGTTTTTTATGATTAATTTACCATCAATCTATATATATAAAAATGAATATATGTCTGTGTGTCTGTGTGTCCATGTTACCATGGTTACCAAGGTTGCCATGGTTACTAAGGTTACTAAGGTTTCATGGTTATTAAGGTTACCATGATCCATAGTTACCATGGTTACCAATGTTACCATGGTTACCAAGGTTGCCATGGTTACTAAGGTTACTAAGGTTTCATGGTTATTAAGGTTACCATGATCCATAGTTACCATGGTTACCAATGTTACCATGGTTACCAAAGGTACCATGGTTACCATGAGTGTTGTAGCTATTATAATCATAATTATAGGTCTTTAATGGACAACGAAGTGCATGGGATCAGATATTTTATATATATAGTCCGTGTGTGTCCACATTACCATGGCAACCTTTTATATTGTTTTATGTAAAACATATTATTCATATAGAGTTGTCAATTTTAATGGGCAACGTAGTGCTCAAGATCAAATATTTTTATACATATAGACATGTTGGATCTCTGGGCAGAAGATAGGCTAATTTAAAAGGGGAGAGGACCAACACCGGGACGTGCTCAAACAGGGATTTTGAGATTTTTGTTTATATATGGTAACCGCGGGTTTCAAAGCTATAATTATAATAATAATTGGTTTAAAATTGCTGTTATGGTAACCGTTATATTATAAAATAAAACATTTTATTCATATAGAGTTGGTATTTTTAATGGGCAACGAAGTGCACGGGATCAGCTAGTATATTATAAGGCCATATAGAAGTGATGAATTGTTCAGATTCGTGAACTTGACAAATTAAATATTTAATAATAATAATATTATACTATAATGACGAATAAAAATATAGATATTGTAACTGCATAATACAAAATAAATACAATTTTTACTACCTATATCATAATATATATATAAGGCATTATATAGGTGCTTTTCCTACGTATTATACGAATTTGTTGTCACCGTCTTACATACGTATAGCTCTATATACGACATGAACATTTTTACGTTCACAGTAACATATTTTACTCCGTAGGTAATTTCTAAAATTGGAGTGAAAGGCTTTTATTGATATTTTTATTAAGAAGCGAGTTACGACCATTTTTAAGCTGTACTTTTTTTGTATATTCTAAAATTATCATAACTTGCTTAAAAATAATAATATATCAAAAAATACCTTCGAGGTCCTAGTAAATTTCTTAAAATTAAATTTTTTTTCCTCCTTTACATTTTAGTGTCACTAAAAAAGAAAAAAATCGAAAATCCATTTTCTAAATAACCTAGAACAGAGAAAAAGGAATTCAAATATTTTTTTTAAAATTAAAATTCGCTCCACTCAGAATCTAAAATTATTTTAGCTAAAAAAAATTATCACCTAGCTATGGAATATATACAAGAATGACCAAAAGACAGAATTCGATGTAATGGCAATAATATAAACAACACACACATATATATAGTAATAAAATTATTGTTATGTATTAATTACACGAAATCATAATATATACTTATCGCATAGTACAGTGTATATATATATCTATATATATATACATATATAGGGTACCTATTATATATTATATTATGTATATATATATATATATATAATAGGTAATAATAATAATATTTCGTTTATGTCTATTATATTATAATAACACGTGTCCGACGCACGATGATAAAATCATAATAGGTAATCAAAATTCATAATAATAATATACGCTTTTTCCGTCGTCTTGCTAAAAAAAATCCGCCGTCATACGCATAATAATAATAATAATAATAATATATTAATATATTATAACATAATAATAATCATAATTACAATATAACTGTACCGCCAGAGCCACTGCACTAAGCAATACCTATATATATATAATTGTTTACCAACTCGTACGACGGCCGTACGCTTACATATCGTATCATTATTATAATCGTTGTCGTCAATATTATTATCATTATTGGTCATCGTAGTACTCGTCGGCGTACTCGTAGACGGGCCGCATGGGCCTCCTGTTGGACGCGGACGTCGCCCTCACGTGCTTGTTGCTGTTGTACTGCTGAGCTTGCGGACGGTCCTGCTGCAGTTGCTGTTGCGGCCTCTGCCTGTTGTTGTGCGGAGGGCCCATCACTTGCCTGACGCTCACGCGCTGCGGCTGCCTGGCCTGCTGCTGGTAGACCGTCTCCGCCGCCGCCGCCGATTCGTCCACGCCATCGTATTCGTCGGCGGGCGTCGGTCTGACTTTGGTCGGTTTCGAGGTCCGCATCAGGAACGGACCGGACGCTCGTTGCTTGGTCGCCGCGTTGATGGACTGCCGCGTGGCCGCCGCCGGCAGTTCGTCCTCGTAATCGTCGGCCACCGGCCTCTTCCTCGGCGCCGCGGGCTGCTGCGGTTGCGGCGCAACGGTTGCGGGCGCCCTGCCCGGCTTTGACCTGACCGTCGCGGCCGACGGGCGTCGTACGCGGTCCGCGTCATAATGGACCGCCACGGACGTCCTGGCGGCAGCCTTGACCGGCTTGATGACCTGGTCGGGTTTCGAGGCGGCGGCGGCCGAGGCCACCGCGGATTTCACCGCGGCGGGTACTTCCGGTTCCGCGGCGTACTCGTCGTCTGCCACCACTTCCTCGTCGTCGTCGTAATACTCGACCGGATCTTCGGTGGCAGCCGGACGTGGTGGCGACTCTCTGCCCCTGGAGCTCGACTTTGCAGGCGCGGCTTCTGTGGTGGTGCTGGTGGTGGTGCTGGTGGCCGTGGTGGTGGACGCGGGAGCGGCGTCCGCCGACGGACCCGGCTGTGGGCCAGACTTCGATACGTAATCGTATCGATCCCGTTCGTTGATGGGCACCGGACGGCGGATCTTGGGCGGGGCCCTGGGCTTGTCGTACACCGAAGAAATCTGATTGGACACGTTCTTCGTCACAGCGGTCGACGACGGCTGTTGTTGTTGCCGTGGCTGCTGCTGCTGTTGCTGCTGCTGCTGGTGTTGCTGCTGCTGCGCGTGTTGTCCTCTGTGCTGTTTAAAGTTACCGCTCGGCGGCGCGTCCGATTCCGAACTGCTATCCTGGTAATCGGCCTCTAGGTCGGCCTGCTTGTTATCTGAAACGTTAACGGTCGGTCAACTACAAGCGTTCTCGAGAGGACGCTACCCATGCATTTGTTGTTTCCGTCTTACTACACATGCGTAGGAAATTGCAAATTTTCATTCCCAAGTTTTAATAGTGTGCTGTTAGTTTTGTTACTATAGAGTGACCCAAACTTATCAAACTTTTAGGTAAGAAAATTATCTCTGCTTAAGCGCTGGTGATTTTTCAACATTTTAATTTTCAATCGACTTTCAATGAGCATTTTTAATTTGTAGTATTTCACACATTCATATCTTGCTGGGAAATTTAAGTATTGAAAAATCACCGACGCTGAAGCACATGTTATGTTCTTACCAAAAAATTTGATTACAGCAGGTCAATTCACTTTAATATCAAAATTAACAGCATACTGTAGAAATTGAGAAATTAATATTGGATAATTCGTACGTGTGTAAGACGTACATAGAAATGATGCATGGGTTCTCTTAATAATATTTCGAACTGAAAACGACTACGGTGTATGAAACGCCAGTATGTGTGTCCGCGAAAACAGGGTAAACTGTATAGTTAAATGTCCCATTTTATGCTCAGTACCCTGTACTAATGTTTTTGATTTCTGTCTGCGGGACATGAAACTAGACTATTATATCATCGATCTCTAGCCGACAGAATTCTAAAATATTTATAGGGTAGGTACTGAGTAATATAAGTAACTGAGTTACCCAGTTTTTGTGGACACATGGTATACGAGATACCCGATGACAGACAAAAATGAATCTAGTGGATCGTGGACGTAATAATTTGAACCTTTCTGACTTTAAATTACTAATTTAGAAATATCCGTCGAAAACAAAAATGTTTGACAGAAATTACGCATTTCATTTAAATTACAGGTAGGTATTAAGTTGCATTCAGGGTGCAATTTTATTTGTCCACAATTTATTAGATTATAAGTCGTAGCATTGAAAACAACCTATATCGTGAAATATTTAGGTAAAATATGACAATAATGAATAACGATACTTTCAAATTAGTGTGTGAGCGACTTCGTGCAGAGAACCACACAATGTTTATTTTGAAAAGTGCCTATATATTTAATTATAATTGCGTATGACGTTATATTATTAAATTATATAAATTACATGAATCACGATTTTTAATAAAATTCCGATCTGGTTAGATCAATATTAAAATATTAAACACAACTATTTTGGTTTTTTTTTTCGTAACTTATAATAAATAATAATGTGACACGAGACTTTCTAAAAGAACAAACGTACCCATATATTCGAAAATGTATTAAATTCGATTTCAGCGAAAGGCGATGTATATGTAACATAATATATTTATATAATCATAGAAAATTATTGGAAATGTTAAAAAATATATTTATAATTTATAAAACGCTCACGACTTGCGTCGCCGTCGATGAACATCACATTCCAAAGACATACGAACTATAATATATAATGCGTTTGCCTTTGATGTGCATATACGATTGATGCATCGATTAAAAAAAAATTCATTGGACGTGCTCGATGGTATATACCACCAGACGTATCGTTTTCGTGTTATACAATAATAATATTGTGACGCAAAATCCGTGATTGTTTTTAATTATTATACGCCGCCGCTGTTGAAAATTATATGTTTAACACATACGTTCGATTTTTCGTAGTGTGTATACGAATTACGACTTTGTAACGAGAAATATAAAATATATACAGAATTGTGGAAGAGTTGGGCAGTTAGCGCTGAACCCCCCCCCCCCCATTTGAAAAGATAAGCAACTGGTGGCTGGTGGCTATAGATTTTTGGTAGTAAAATTAAAAATTCCAGGTGGAAATATACAGGGTGTAACAGGAAGACCTGGCAGATGAAATGACATTAGTTCAAATCAATATTGATTTACATTTGTTATTTTAATTATATAATTTATAGTCACTTGCGCTACATGTATAATATAAAAAAAAATATTTTAATTTAATTAAAAATAGCCAATTTGTAAATCTGATTATAAAAACAATTTTGATGGTAAAAACATTTATCTGAGTCAAGTAGTTTATTTTTTAGAATCTTTTAAAATATCGATATTTTTTGAGTAAATTAATAATTTAGAACCTAATGACATTTTTAAAAATATTATTTTTGGGAATTTCCTGGCATGAGTATATTTCTTGAATTAATTACTAACCATATAATTTTTCACAATTTTTTGTCATACCTAACATAATTTTTTTTTAGTCCGGTCTTCCTGTTACATTAGGTATGGGTACACTTATATTCCCGCCCACGTAAATACAAAACGAATCAATGGCCGCAGCCATGTTATGTAATAGGCCGATAATTGCCACTGAGGGTCGGTATAATGACAATAACAATATTGCACTTACTGTTGAACCTAGAATGTTTTCTTATGGGTTTTTTGGCCACCGGCATGTGCTCGACGCTATCGTCGTAGTACTCCTGCTGGTCGTCGTAGTCGTCCACGTAATAGTACTCGTACACGGGCCTACGTCTCCGGTACGACGGCCTGCGCTTTCGGCCCTGCGCGTAACCTGGCGGCATGGCCCTGCGACCTTCGTACGGCATCTGCTGCTGTTGGTAGGGCATCTGCTGCTGTTGGTACGGCATCTGCTGCTGTTGGTACTGCGGGTAGAACGGCTGTTGCTGTTGCTGCTGCGGCGCGGCCGTCGTGGACGTGGTGGTCGTCGGCAGCGTCGTTGTCTCGGCGGCTTTGTACAGCGCATCATTTCTGTGCACATATTATTTGCATCGTACGGTTTTTAAATCGGAATTGTAAAGATGTTTTAGAAATGTAAAACGTAATGATCGGTACCTACAATTACCTTCAGATAATGTGGGTATATTCAATATTGTCACACTGACTTTTTAGAAGATATTGGACATAAAATCGTTCTCTACGTAATACAATATGCGTTTCGGTATATTGGACATGGAAAATATAAATCTACAATGTTGAGGTGCACTTATATGGGCTATATTATGTCTTACCGACGAAATTATTGATGAAAACACACCGAAATTGAATAAAAAGAACAGAAAAAACTTAAAAGGATCTGGTCTAAGTGGTAATAACCCACGCCACTGGCTGCAGCAGACATTCCACATAATGCACTATCGCACTGATGTTACATATCTATACGGTCAGCCTCTGATCTAGTCTTTAACGCTGCAAGAACGATTTTTTTTCAAAAGACATATTGCGCTTTCTTTATTGGATTCTACGGTACAAGTATCAACTATGCAAAATTGTATATCTATATACCTATATAGCTACTGTCGTGGTTATACGGTTTTGTAAACATGATTTACAAAAAAATCACAATTCGACGTCGACATTCCTTGCAAAAACTATTTTGTAATCGAAACAATAAGGTTTAGATGCATGCGGTACGTGTGTAGGTACACTGTGAAAACTCAGAGCGTATGTTATAATGTATAGGTTGTAGGTATATAATGATATAATTCACTGTGGCAAAGTGCACGCCTATAGGTAGGATAATAATTCGGTGCTTTGATAGGCAACCGCAGCCAAACAATAACCCGAAACTGCATAATACGCATTAGACTTATTATTATTATTACTATGTTGATACACATAATATTATTATGTAGGTACCTATAACCTATATAATAATATAATGTATGAATGTGTAATACAGCTACTGCCAACATCAGCGACGCGGACGTCACGTCTGTGGTTATAAAATATAATATACGTATTTACGATGCGTACGTCGTGACGTCGTCATTACCTGCTAAAGTACTTGGCCGAGTTTGGGCAGTCCACCTGGGACACGAAATGGCAAATGAACGTCTTTTGATCGAAAGCTGTGTAGTTGGCGCACAGGAAGTCAAACCTCGTGCCGAACAGACAGTGATGGTAGAGCTGCAATCGTATACGCACATAACCAATGTAATATTACAAATTACAACACATAATAATATATCATATAGGACTTAGGGCTAAATGAATTGTGTATAGTCAGGTACTATATAGATTTGTTATATAATCCCTTGTGCACTGGCGCACTGCATCCAGCAATGCTACAACGATTGCATTAACGTTTGACGTCACAGGTCAACTGTAGGACACATCCAAAATAAACATTTGATTTTTTTTTCCGGAACCACAGAGTTTGGTTCTAAACGCGTACTTCGGTCTGTACAGTGTACGTTTAGTTGCGAGGCAATTGCAACGGATAAACTCAAAAGGGAACTCACCCTCCCCTCCCTATTCACATACAAGAAACCAAACCACGTTCGTAATAGCATAATAATAATTAATAAAATATAAATACCAAATTGTATAGGTATACAATATACATATATCACAATTCTATTAATCGTGATATTGCCTATATTTGCCTACCTAGGTATATAATAATATACTGTGGTTAACGTATTCATATATAAATAAATATTGTATTTTTGTTTAGCATAATATTAGCCCATTAGAGCCGAAATTTTTTTATTTTTTTTTTAAAATTTTTTTATTGGTCAAATTCCCAATGAGAAATTAGCTTCTAAAAATAGGTCTACCTATGTTGCCATATGGCAACGCACGGCGCTAATGGGTTAGGTACAAGAATAAATTATTGGTAATTTGATTAGGTACTTATAAACATGGTTAAGTTAATGTCCTTTAAAGAAATGGCAGGTATATATAGATAGGAATATATTGATAAGATTATAAGAATGATATATACGGAACGAATTAAAATATGACGTGCCTAAAATGATTGAGCCCACCAAGATCCCCTTATTCAAACGATAAATCCTAGCGGCCAAAGGAAAATATTAAATGATAAAAAATGTTTAACGTTTGTTTCTACATAATAATATGACACTGATTGTGGTAAAGGTACGTTTTTATGGGTATTGTGGCGTTCACGGCTATTCGGAAAATCAAACAAACATATTTCGATGGATTTTAACGATTAATAATGATGTATACATATGGCTCATAAATGCATATTATATATTTATATGGGTATAATCAGTAAGGAATGACCCTCAATCCTCATCCCTCTCAAGCCCCTATAATTAATTTAAAAAAAACACACTAGATCGACTCACCTGACATTTATGAGGCATGCTCGCGTAGAAACCATCGTGCAGTCCGTCGCATTTGAATTCGATATCCTTGGGCACCGAGTTCAGGAACGGATATTCCGTCAAGTTGTAACCGTTCAGTTCCCGGGGCAAGTTCGGATCGTGCACGTAGTCGATCTGCGGTATGCCTGTCAACGTGGGTTTAGTGGTCGTGGTTACGTTCAACTCGACAGCTACAGGTTCCCCATCCTCGTCCACGTCGATTGCTTCATCCGATTCCTGCGAGTTTAATGAGAATATACGTTTTACGTCGGTTTACTGTGCAGATTATCCAAAATTACTTAAAACTATAACATTCAAGTACACTTTAGAGATATCTGCTGCACCTCCCGAATGAGAAGGCTGACTCCGCCTGCAAGGGCGTTGGCGCATTTTTATACTTATATTATTCGACCATCGTTGAACGGGCGTACAATACTCTCCCCCAGTGGTATACGAGCTATTATGTCATCGTTTATTGTGCGCAGATTTATAATTAGATGTAAGTTACCTATGAGTTTTAACTTTGATTCGGTCGAGAGTATAGAAACCGTATTTTTTGAGCGATAGTTGTGTAGTGATATAATAATATAGATACATTATGACAGTATAACACGTCCTGATAATTACGAAATGCCCTTGTAATAATTTAAATTATAGACCTGTCTTATCTTATAAAAAAAAGTTACGACCGTAATTACATAAATATAAATGTACGATCGGGTTTATTTTTAAAAGTCACAAATCCCATATAGTATTATATTATAGTATAATACATTATTATAAAGATTTTTTTTTAGTCGGTGCCTATACAGGTGACGACACGAGGTAGAATAATTTGCATTTAATATTATTTTATCAGAATAATAAATCAACAATGTTTAGATTTTAACTATACATACACACTGCCAAATTATTTAACATTTAAGATTTTTATCTACTAGGTGTGTGGTGTGTCTGTGTAGTTTAAATTTAACAAAGGGTGCCCAGAATATCCAAAAATTAATACATCATAACCCCATTTTATCCGTATAATAATATCTATACCCAAAGTAAAACAACAGAAAATATTTCATACGAAACGTATAGCTGGTGTATTATTCGAAAATTATTTTACCAAAATATTTTATTCGAAAGTTATATAGGTTACTTTTCAGATAAAATACGTTCAGGCGACATAATTTTCTAACAATTTATTTTCAAAAGCAAAATTTTCGAATAAAATATTTTTGTGTGTTTTACCTTTGTATCGAATAGTTTTCGGATAAAATAATTCGGACAGAAATATTTTCGGATATTTTGTAGGTGATTTAATTTAATTAACATCCTACACCCTGCACGTAACCACTATTATATACCTAGCGTATAAATATACTGGTATATTTTATTTGATTCTCTTATGTAGGGCAACAGGGCGTAATAAATAAATATGAAAACGAATGGGATACTTAATTCATTTAAACCTGACATAATGGATACCTACAATTGAAAAAGTAGGTATTATTATTGTATACTATAGGTACGTATTATAAGTTATGACTTAACGTATAACCTATTCTTATAAATTATAAAAAAAGAAACAATAAAATCTGTTATAAGATTATAATAATAATATACCTATTGTATAATAGTTTAATATAATATAGTATTATAATGATTACAATATAGTGTACAGCTTTTAAATTTTGTAATTTTTTTAATTTGGATCAAGCAAAAATTTCAAAACTTAAAGCTTTCATCGAATACAGAGAACGATTTAATTTCACCTATACGCACGTCTGTATACTATCATTATGTATAGCCGTATAGGTTAGGTTAGGTTACCTATATAAATACATAATAGTATAATACATAGTACTGTCAAATGAGGTTTCGATGGTAATATTTCTTATTCTAATAATAGCAATATTAACGAAATAACCTCGACATTTCTTAACTGACACTGTACGTACCGAAATTTTTTTGTCCGCTTTCGCTTTGGCTTGAAGTACAACAGCAGAACCTCGTAGCGCATCTAACTCCGCTACAAATAAGGACCATGTCAGTAAACCTGTAATTAAAATATACAAACGTCAATTGATTCACCTTCATTGGATAGGTAACTATGTTTTACATAATATGTACATTTATATGTGTCACACGAGTTGACTTTTAGCAATTTCGCATAATATATTACGTAGCATTAAAGAATCCGTCAAAATAATGATTAGTAATAAAACAAAATAATTGATAAAATCTATTAGGTACATTTTACACTTATTATATATTGGCAATCTCCAATATAGGGTACCTACTACCTACATAGTGTATAATTTTCAAAGACACTTATTATAATTGTTAATTAAATAAATATTGTAAATAACATATTTTGTTTTGCACCTACATTGCATAGTGTATAGAGTAATAGAGTATAATAACTATAAAGTCTTCGACATTTTTAATTTTGATTTACCATGATCACGAAGAACTCACGGTAAAAACTATTTATGAATAATTACAAATCGTCCATATTATAATAATGTCTAGGCCAGAGGATTAAGCAGGTCTAAAGACAGGTCACACTAAGTGTGAACTTAACCTATTAAAAAACAAGAGATATGCACAAAAAATATATTTGGTAAATAATTTGATTAATGTTTTTGTATTTGGCTAACGTAGGCTTAATCATCGATACATCGGTTTTATAAGTCAAATAAAATATCATAATATAATAGCCTCGAGCGTCGGGCATAGCATGGATCGAACAATAAAATTACAAAAAAAATACTTTTCCGACTGAAAATATTATTTCGATTTCACTAAATCAATTATTAATATTCATCTAATAGCCAGTTGTAATTTCACCATGTAGTTTATTTGAGACACGACTACACGAGTGCCGGAGTGCAGGTATTATTATTGTATAATATATATAAAATTATCAAAACGAAGTGTGCAGCCAATAAATCGATATCTCCGTTAAGAAGCAGACAAAATTATGTCATCGGAGCCATTCGATGATTACTAAATGTTTAAATAATAAATATTCATTACGACATGAGCACATATTAAATGTTATACTACCAGATACGTATAATTATTTGTTATGCTAATGATTTTTCAATATTACCTATGGTCAAAGAATTTTTGCGAAAAAAAAAACACATAAGTCTAGGGTCTGAAGAACTGCAGATAATACCAATATTTAATAATATAGTATTATACATATATGTAGTACCTATAACCTATATTAAACCTTCGAAGTATAATATAGTACCCACCCATATAGTTCGATTTGTTCCCGATGCATTTTTAATCGGCCACAATTTACGACGTGTAAAATATGTTCTGTGCATTGTGTAACAGTGGCATACATTTTCGATTGTCAATATTATGAATTAATGCGATAGGTATAATAGCATTGCAACGAACCAGTTTTAAAAACTCATAAACTCGGTAACGCCCAGACAGATACGCTCACTGGCACACACGAACACATGCGCCACGGGACCCATTGCGTTTCCTGGACAAACGTGACAGTGGCATTGCTACATAAGTGCCGATAGACACGTAATTAGGCGCCGAAAAACACTATCCGTCTGTAGGTACCTATTCGAGCTAGTGGTTACGTAATTCTTTTATGTACATATTATACCTAGACGTTTAAAGCAAGCGTCCCGATAATAAGATGTCACAAACAAACCATATAATTGTTACATTCTGTGGTATAACAACTGGAATACGTTTATAAATATAATATGCTTAATGCTTTATAAATTATAATACTTTAAATTATACACTATATTATAGTGTACCTACCCATATTGTAATATATGTCTGTAGTCTGTATGACCGTATAGGACACGGCGTCCCAAGTTTGAATTATAATGTATAATATTATTATATTCTCCCGCCGAAATCGACCATCGAGCAGCAACTACATTATAGATAATAAAATATACACGACGATTTTGAGATCTACGCTATACTATAGAATATTATGTATATTGTGGTGATAAAAAATGTATACGGTGAGGAAAAAATACGAATCCTTGATCTTCGATCGATGTGAATGCACTTGAAACGCGCCTAATGTGTATAAAATACTTCACACAGTGTGCGTACAGCGTACGCTGTGCACATACCAATTTATTATTATATTATTATTGTTGTACCTATATATATATTCGTCAAATCACCTACACGGTATTTTTTTCTGGATTGCGCGTTAAGACTACCATACACTGTGGCCAATTTTCGGTCGTTAACCTTCATGGCAGATTGTCATAATAAAATAAAATAATATATACATTTTTTAATTATTATTGTTTTTATTTTACCTCCAATTTTACCTCCATATCTTGGTTATAAAATTATTCATCATAGGCGTGTTTTTATTTGAAGCGTACAGGCGTTATTTAATAAATAGTACCTACCTACTGAATATTATGATAGCCATTGTCCGAATTTCACAAAAACTAAGTTAACATTTTCTATTGAGGCGGTTAAGAGATTGATGTTACAATTTGATAACACATAAGGTTTGAATTGTGTATAACACGTGCAAAACAAATGCCTTTTAAATTTTTAACCTAACAAATTACCCATATATATATAAAATATATGTCTGTTGAAGAGTTGTAGGATCTAAACTAAATAAGAAATAAGTAAAACAAATTTATAATAATCTACTATCTATATTGATATAGATATTAGTATCTATAGTAGTAGATATTTAATATATTTATTAAAATTATATTGTTCATGAATTATAGGTATCTATCGGTCTTAGAATAATAAGTTTATTGTATATAACTATCCAACATTTTAAAAAAAAAAAAATTGAAATTAAACGCGATTACTATATTTACGTATTTTATGTTCGATTGCTCCCGAGCATTGTATTATTTTTAATTTTAATTTTTAATAAATATCTAATTAATATTTAATATAATATTTTCACTCGGTATGACTCTTGCCAAATACAAATCGTAATCGCTTATCAATATCAATATGTAACGTCAATGGAAAGTTACGAATAGATTGACTTTCATAAGGTAGTAATATCGATGAACGCATGTAATCGTGGGTGTTAACTGCTATATAGGTACCGTATTATACACATATATCGACGTGTCGCTATAAATATTATGAATTATGATTACAATGGCTCCAACATTATTAGTGAACTAGCGAATAATTTAATATGTCAAGACAATACTAAAATACTCAATGTCTGCGTTCTTTTCACAATTTATAAAAACCTTCTTGTACCTATTTAGACTTTAACATTTTTAACTGAAAAAACATTTATATTATTTAACCTTTTTAATAAATTATATTATTTTTAAATTATTGATTTTTTTTGTTTAGGATGATTGATAAAGATATTTGCTTTTTACATTCATAATGCAAAAAAATAATAAAAATATGGACCACTTAATATTGTAATAATATTCCATCAATCAATAAAAATAATAAATGGTTTAATGGTAGGTATCCAATATTCATTAATTTTATACCAGAAACAGGATGTAATTTAATATTGTAACAAATTACTATAAATTTATTCAGTATTTTAATATCCGCATTTAAACATATCATGTTTTAATTTAAATTTTTTTTAAAACTTTACAAACTGCTTAATTACATGGTAATAAATAATAATACGACTTGAGAAATATAGTTTCTGTTATCATAAAAAAGTTAAGAACTACAACTTAATGGTTAATTGTTAATGATTATAAAACTAGATCTGAACAATTTTTGAATAAATTAGAAATGTAACAAAATATTTTATGATGAATACAGTATTCCTTTATACAACTACTATTATTATTATTGTATTGGTATTAAATATATAAAATGATTACAAGAGTCATGCATGCCTTGTAAAATATTAAATGAACATTTTATTCAAGGACGCTTTTTTATTATTATTTAAGTTATTGATTTTTTTTTTTTTTATTATTATATATTTTTATTTTGTATATAAATATTACGTATTCAACTACTATAGAGTTTTTTTTTATCGATATTTTGCAACATGTCATTTTTGTACCACAATTTTTATACATGTCTAATAATATAGTGAATATAACGTAATATAATTAAATTTCTACTTTTATAGTTCCAAGAAACGTCTACTTTTTAATTTTTCAAAAAATAGTATTCCTATATTATAAGCTATTAGTCCTTGCTCCCAAGTCTCAAGTTATTAGAATTTTAACTTTTATAACAATAATCATACACAAAAATCGCTTGATAGTTATATAAACTATAGTTAAATGAGTATTAAAAATGAAACCATTAGGAGGCACATTAGCAATACCAAATTTGATCGAAAGTAATGTATAACGCTAAGACTTGTTTATACTTGACTACCTAAACATAATTATTCTGCATTCGACTGTAGACTTTTAATTAATATTAAATGTGTTTTTGAAAAAAATTTAATAATGTTTCGTAGATATTGAATAATTGTTATTTTTCACAAAATAAGCGTATCTAGATGTGCTTAAACCCGGGTCTTAGCCTCTCCGTAATTGTAGTCAACCCAAATGTTCAATTTATCTAAATTATAAAAATTGTGAAGTCCCCGAAACCACCTATAGATAATAAAAGTGTATGGTGTGGCTATAATATAGTCGCCACAGACTAAACCTCGCATTTATACGAGGACAATGGCCTGCGGTGTCTTTTCGGTATTGCGTCAACATGTTCATAATAATAATAATATATAGTCACGAGCGTATTTGTGATTTATAAACCAGATCATTGATTACAAACATAATACAATATGTAGATTTAATCAATGGCCATAATACGACGGAATTATCGGCAAAGAACTAGTTAAATAAATAACTATAGTCTGTTATAAATTACATATTTTGATCATAAATATAAAACAAATTTTAAATTATTAAATACCTATAATGAATCAATATTCAATAATAGTTATGTATAACATCATGAAGACAAATTAAACTGCTCCAAACATTGGTTGAGTGTGTAATATAGGACATTAGAACCTACCAAGTACCAGCGTATAGTAAGTTAACCTTTTTGTTTCAAGCAGTATACAATTTAATATTCAAGATATAAAGAAAAATATAAAACTCGACGTTGCTCAAGATTTCATTTGATTCCTACATTTCAGATCGATATAAAAAATAACTTAAAAACAGACAACGCCCTCAAATGACTTTCACAAACGTATTAATAATTTTTTCAAGGTTCTTCCTATTAGTAACTGAGGCCTTTAAGAAATATGATACATTTAAAATGCACGGAGACCAAAATATTTTGAAACCATTTAATAAATCGTTACGAAATTGTTATGACTTGAATTCCTAATGATTCTAAATTTATATAAGGCACCTACATACCTACATAACACAGTTAGTCTTCATAACAAATGAGCCTGATCAAACGCCATTATCATTTATAAAACTTATACATTTTTGTATTAAATAGTTATTTTAATTTTTGAAGAAAGCAATTGGTTAATCAATATAATAATATTATGTATAGTTAAATTTTAAATAAAAATTCAGTAAAACAAATTATTATTAATATGTATTATGTATCCTGCAACAATATATTTATGAAGATACATATAGGTATAATATGCATTATTATCTGTATATGATGTATTATGTAACATGTATTATGTATATACAAAAATTATAATGAAAAATAATAATGACACTTTTAATTTACTTACATATCGTCAGCTTACAAATGAATATAATTTTGAGCCGTCTCATTTCAATCTGAAACAAATAAAAAAATAATTAATAAATCTAATTAGTACAAAGAAAAATTAATTTCACAAAACCATATGAGTAAGTAGGAAACGAAATTATATATATTTTTAATTAATTTATCTCATAAACTGATGAGAACCTAATTAAAATTAATAATACGTGAAAGATATATTTTACGCACAGGGTGTTTCACCAAACATGTGCATTGCTCAATGCTCTTTTTTGTCCTTATTTATGATATATTAAATTAAATTTTGATTTTTGGAATTTTTTAAGACCATATTTTCAAATACCATTCAAGAAATATCGTGTGGTCAACCTTTAGTTATATAAGTATGTAAAATACTTAAATACTGTTCAGAAGTCCCTTTAAAATTAAAATAGCTCAAAACAGGATAGAATTATTATAGGTAAAATATTGATGGTATTCTTATCTATAAATTTGATAATAAGTCAATTTGCTATAATATTAAAACCCAAAATGACTGATTTTGCACTCAAACTAACATCAAAAAAGTTTTATAAAACTTTCATGTAAGAATATTATCCGTTTAGAACATCGGTTTTTTACAATAATTTAATTTGCAAGTTATGAGCATTTTATTAGTTTTGTAATTTGCTCAAAAGCGAGTTAAGAGCATTTTTAAATTGAAATATTTTACATACCTACTCATATCTTGCTTGACAATTTAGATCGTAAAATTCATCGTACAAACATAGTTAATAATGTTCTTAAGCATTTAAATAAACACATATTATCGTAGATTCATATTATATGAAACATTGAAACTGTAATACTGTATAATACATTTAACAATTATTCAACATATTTTCACTTAATTAATGACTTATAGCACCAGCATGATAATTAAATTGTATATTTATGATGCAGAGCAGATCTTTCTATGCGGAGGGAGGGGAGGAGGGATTAAAATCAAAATATATGATATGTTGAAATTACATACATAGTAACCTTGCCTGAGAACAAATATTGAAAAGATTGATATGGACATACTATAGTTACTACCTACCTATATGTATTATGAATTTATCGATTTACCTACCTAAATCGAACATAAATAAAATCAGTTTACCTATCCAGTGTCCAATAGCCTCAACCAATACCAATACGAAAACTAATTATGTACGTCGATGTAACTACGGTAATTATAGCCTTTGGTGTGACTGGTGTGTAAGTTTTCCGCCAGTGAAAATCCACGAAGACCCTCTGTACACACAGCGGTTGGATACCTAGAGCTGTTTTTCAGAGCAGGACCTATACATAAACCATAATAGCTTGCACCTATAACGACAGTTTAAATAATATCGCAACTATATTAATATTATGTATACGAGACACGAACATTAAAATAGTAATATTATATTGTAATGAGTAAAATAATTGATGACTAATGACGCTAACAATGTCCAAAATCACAAAAAAAAAAAAAAAAAAAAAACAAATCTGTAACAAGTGCCTGTTTCAATCGACGTGGTCGGGAAACCTGTTTTTATTATTATCATAATATAGGTACCTACGTGATTATTATTGCATTTGCAATATCATATACTTGGGTGTGACCATTACAACCTTGACTGGTCTGACCACATATATATAGGTATGTATTTATATATTATAAGATAGCATACCTATGTATAATATATGCAGTATTATATAGGTACTATCGGAATCGAACACGAGAGAGCGAGCGACGGTGGTGACGGAGGAGAACGGGACCGCAAAGAGACACACAACTGTGAAGAGAGTGAGTGAGAGAGAGAAAAGACGATGACGGGGGAGAACGAAAAAAAAAAACGCTACCAGTTTCAGCGCTAGCACGGCAGCCCAAATATTACCACATATTTTTATTTTTACCATGGTTAGACCCGTCGCCTGCGCACGTGTTCGTGTGTGTGTGTGTGTGTGTGTGTGTGTGTGTGTGTGTGTGTGTGTGTGTGTGCAGCGTACGGTCGCGACTTTGATCTCGTTTTGTGAAACACCCGTGTATACACGTACACGAGTGCGCTATGCAGACATTATATTATTGTTGTTATTATTGTTATATTATTTTCCTACACGCGAGGTATTGTATATATTATGGCCGCTGCACCGTTATGGTCCGATGCGGAAAATTCGAACGGTTTTTCGCGAGTTATTATGAAATTGATGTCTATTGCGATAATTACTCCACTTCTCTATAATAATAGGCACATAATGTATTATTATATTGATATTATTGTGTACTTGCAGTGTGTGTTAAATCTGCACAAACGGCGTTACAGATATGTATTTACCTATATAATATAATATGGCCAATATTATTATAGGTAGTGCACTATTATAGCGTTTGCACGGCAAATAGTGCGCTTGCGCATACAAAGGCCCCAAAACAAATTTCTAGTCGTTAAAAACGGGTCGGCACCCGCCCGTAGCGTGCACCGACGTAGTTCGGAGATATAACGTTATTAATTATTATAATATTATTAAATTATTATGTTTTTTTTTTTTATTAAAACACTGCTTAAAAACTCCGTGCTTACACGACGTTACACACCGCTTACATTATGTTTAATATGTGAATAAATAATATGCAGCCGTCTGCAGTTTATGGGTGAGTGTATATTATTATGTACACCAGCGTATATCGTATATGATATGTATATGTGCATAATAGATATTATAATTTATAATAATAATAATAATATTATATTGTAATTTATAATAGTATCTTATATAATAAAATATATTATAATATCGTTGATGATGAATATTCGTGGAAAAATCCGCAGGTATGATATAATTTGCTAAAAACCTTCGGACGTAATATTCAAATATGTACACATAACTACATGAGGCGTTTATTATTGTATTTTTAATGAACGCATTATTAAAAAGGTCGTTTATTTTTTTTCCAAGAATAAGTCCACTTAGAGAACGCATTTATTCATAGCTATCGAAATGTTCAACAAAGAACGTCATTGAATAAAAAAAATAATAATAAAACCAATTACACATTTATACGAGAGATTAATATTATACATTTTAAATTGTATATATAATATTACTACCCAATACAAATTATAAATATATGCTAAATAATAACATAGTGACATAGTATAGAAGTATCCTTACCCAAAAAGTTTTTGAAATTTATTCAGTAAAAATCTTTATGTGAATTTTTTATCTGTTAGCTAGTATTAGTCGTATATTTTGTTATAAATTATGAATTGTGACGAATGAATGATTATTTCGTTGTAATCAGATTTCTTTTGAGTACCTAAAATTCACAAATAATTTACTCGTTTATAATTTATCTAACTTTCAATATAGTATAGTATAGGCAATGTCTTTCATGCTTTTTCCACAAACTTGATCATATTCATTGTACCTATTTGTAATCAACAGAAACATAAGTAGGTATATCACTGTTTTGTTTTTAAAATTTAAATTACATCCTTATAAGCTATTAGTTATTGATTATTTTTAATAAATTAGACATACACAAATTAGGCATCCATCAATTGAAGCAAATAATATTGAGTATATATTAAGTATTAAAAGTGTCATCAAATAATTTGCTAACAATTAATATAGGTAGGCACCTACTTTTCAACAATAACATGTGTTTCACATGTTTATTGTATGTATCTCACATTCTCACTTAAGTGGCTACCTAACAGTTCATATTAGCATTGACAGCACATAATTAATCTACTGTTTCCTCGCAAAATAAATTTAATTGTGTACCTACCTTTCTGAATACGTACTTAATATTATATATATATACTTATATTTACAGACACCTTGTTATGGTATATGTGCTGTTTTAAATGTAGTATACAATTAATTTGAAGTAAATTGTTTCAAATTAATTTATTAAACATTAAGTATAAGTACCAATACATGTAGATGTATGCATCATCATTCACCATAGCATAAAAAATTAAAAAACTTCGTTTTCACTATAACTAAAACATTTTTTTTAAATAATAATTTTTATATATAGGTAAAAAATATGTGTGAATCTGACTAATTGTATCATTTTATATTATAAATATAATAACTATTTAAGTATGTTTTGTTATTTCCATACCGGAATCGTTGAATTATCTATAATGATTGATTCAAATATTCAATCTGCATTGTAATTACCAATTATCTTTCAATTTATTAATAGTTGATATGGAACCATAATATACAATGTAATTATTGTAATTTAATAATATTTATTCATAGTTGATAGTTCTTATTTGATATCTACTGGCTACTAGATTCACCTAACTCAGGCTACCTATGATTTGAATGCCATTAAAATACATTACGATATTTAAAGCTTATACGCATCAAACGTACACCCATCACCGTATAAACCATGTTGGTGTTATAATAAACCCCTAACGAGATGAAAAAATAATATTTTGATCAATGTGTCAGAATAGTCCAAACGATTTATGGTCACCTATATAAATGACCAAATGAAGCTTTCACATCTTCACACATTGACATTGTACGATGAGTAATAACCACTCGATTAGTTGTAAAAATACACTACCTAGGTAGTACCTACCTATTTTTTTTATTACTTCATACGGAAGAATCGTAAGTATAAAAGTAGATAATGAAATAGTTTTTTTTTGACCAAAAATAAAAATAGTATTGTTATTTTCACATTTTCTGATCTATTTACCTGTATGACATAGTTGTTAATGAATCGTTGTCAATCTTAAATTATTTATAAGTATATTCATTTAGAATTTTAGAACATATGTATTATAATATTATACGGATATAAATAATAAATTTATGACATTATTTAGCTATTTAATAAACTCATTAACCATTTAGAAAAGAAAGTGAGAGCACTTTCAGTATTTAGGAGTTATACAAACACTAAACAGCATTCTTCACATCCTAAACATATTAATTACAATGTGTGCAATGCATAACATATGAGTTATTTATGTAAAATTATTATAAAACGATGATTCGTCATAATTAT